ACACACACACACACACACACACACACACACACACACACACACACACGTGCATGCACACACACAAGCTGAAAATTAAAAATAACAGATTAATGCAATCTAGAAGGTTCCAAGAAGGGCTCAGGAACGTGACCACCCATACACTTGACTTTTGTGTGATTCTTGGGGAGTGCTGACCCACTGGAAGTGCCCTGAAGGCCTCATTTCCCTTCTCCCTTTATAACCAGCCTTCTCATGCTAACAAAAGAAGTTCCCTTCTCTCTGCTCCAAACCCCAATGTGGACTCACTGAGCTAACTGAGCCAGAAGTTCTTTCTTTCCCTCCTGACCCAGAGCAGAAATGTGGTGGAAAAAAAAAGTATTTGGTACCAGCGCAGTCATTTTTAATTCATACTGCAAGTTAAGGCGTGAGTGATTTTTGTTGCGGGCAGCAGGGCGTTAAGGACTCTTGTAGCCCAGGCTGGCCTCAAACTCATAAGGATGACCTTGAACTTCTGATCCTCCTGTCTTTACTGCCAGAGTGCTAGGGATACAAGTGCGTACTGCCATACAGGTTTTATTTGGTACTAGGGATCAAATCCAGGGTTTTAGGCATGTGAGGTGAGCATTCCACCAACTCTTTATACCCCCAGCCTCAGGAGTGAATTCACCCGCCTCAGACCCACCTACTGGCAGAAATGCATCTTTTCCAAGCCAGAGAGAACTGTTAGGTCTCAAACCCTGCCTAAAGGCTGAGATGCTCGTTAACACATCAAAGCTGATGCTGGCTGCCAGCAGATTCTCCCTTAGTCCCAGCTATAGGGTCCACCTGCCTGGCAAACCCTGCCCCCTACAATGAACTCTCCAGCCTTGGGGCTGGGCTGCCCTTCCCCTAGCTGCTCCTCCCTATATAATCCAGCCATTTTGGCTACACTGGTCCTTTTTACCCTCTGCCCTCCTGGCCTCTTTGTCTCCTGCCTCTCCTCTCTCCACACATGGACCGGCTCAGGGCCACGTTCACTGTGGACTCTCCCAGATGTCCCTGCCTCTGGCTATGCTCTCCCCTCACATCTACAATAAGCCTTCTCCTCCACCACACCTAGCAGTCCTGTCCCCCTTTCTATTCCTTTCTTCATCATTCAATTCAAGAAGACCGTCCAGAAATAAGAAAGACCCCTAGTTCACCAAGGTGGTAAACCTGTGGCAAGGCCAAAGACCTTGTTTAATCCAGAAGCAGAATTTGGAGGGAGTCGCTGTGGTGGGAGGCCTGTCTTTGTGAATTAAAAGCTCCAGACGGCTTTTCCAAGAGAGGGCATGTGTGGGTGAGTCAGTGCTCTGACTCGGAGGCCTGCCGCACTAAGTAGGTACATTCTTCCATGTGCATTCAAATGATTAATATTTTAATTTTCCCAGCCCTGTCCAAGTATGCGGTCTTTAAAACCTTGTCTTTAAGTGAAAGACTGGCAAGCATAAGCAACAAATTTGTTGCAGCCAGAACACCTGCTTTGTAACACTTCCCAGAAGCTGGGAGAGAAAGGGCTCCCAGAAGCACTTTCGTAACTTGAAAGGATTTCTGGTTCTCTGCTTTCCACAAAGCTGAAGGACACAATGGGATTCTCAGAAGACAGAGCATTGGAAATCTCACTGTGTGAACCAGGAGGTAGCATTCAGAAGGTGCTGGCTGAACGTCCTCAGCAGCTCCATAAACAACTTAGACAGCAGAACTAAGACTGGGCGCTGGGCGCTAATGTGTAACCCTGGAGAGACAGTCAGCCCATACAAACATGGCGGGGGGGGGGGGGTGATCCTAAGCTCAAAGTCCAACAGCTGTGAACTTCCATACCTCTAAAAGTTAAAAAATACATATTTGTGACCAGTTACATAGTAACAAGCATGATGACAGCTCAATCTAGAAAAAAAACAAAACAACTAATTTTTACCCTGTGACTCCAAGTCAATTTAAGTTTAAAAAAAAATCAGATTTCGAATTAGTGCTTATTTTTATGTGAAGGGCTGTGGAGAGGTGATTAGGAAAAGCCTTTCAGACTAAGAAAAGGAGGAAGGTGGATGAATGCAAACAGAAGCAAGTGTGCGAACTTTGCAACATCGGTTAAGCAGCGGTGAGGAGAGAATGGCCTTTACCAGTCCAGTGACTGGTGAGGTCAGAAAGACAGCCTCGGAGACAGTCTGTCTTCAGGCGCTTCCCGTTTTGTTGTTGTTTTAGGCAAAGTCTCTCACTGGCCTGGAGCTTTGCCTAGGCTAGCTGGCCAGCCTGCTGCAGGGATCCCCTCTTGCTGGAGCTGGGGTTACCTTGTAATGTGGGTTCTTGGTTCTCATGCTCGGGAAGTGGCTGCACGGTACAGACAGAAGCATCTCCCCAGCCCTCGACGCCTGCTTTCAAAGTGGCATTGCGGTTGCAATACCACAGCAGCTGAGTCTTTAGGAACTCTTTGAATTTGAAATATCTGTAGATGGCGTCTCCAGAGGCGCACGTCCCCTTCTAAGAGGCTGCGTGCTTTCTAATGCCTTGCTGCACCCCTGCGCTATACTTTACCTCAGCACTAAGTGGGGGAGCCTTGGGTTTCACCTACTGAGACCCGCTGACACAAATGGGAAGGAAGGGTGAGGTTTCAAGCTGGGCTAAACCGATGATTCTTCATTTGTAGCCCACTGGAGTTCCAGCGGGGCTCCCTGGAGCGTCCTTCTCAGGATCATGACAAATCACAGGATGCCCTCCAGGCAGTGCTGGACGGGAGAGCGCTCACCAACAACCACGTAACCGCACAGAGATGCTGGGCGACACACACACACACACACAGAAGCAGCCGTACACCCGTACAGGGATGCTGGGCTCCGAAGCCCGGTGCGCACTCGGTGTTGCGGCGGCAACACTCGCAGTCGGGGTTCCAGTGGTAGCCAGCCGTGCACGCACAGCGACGCGGGGCTGTGTGGTTGCCGGGGTCCACGGCCACCAGGGCTTTGCCTGCGGGAGACAAGAGATGGATCAGAGACCAGCGAGGGCAGGAGACACGAACACACTGTCCACCGGGTGCCCCGCCCCCCTCCCAGCTCCAAACAGCCCGCCAGCCAGCTGCCTCTGGCTGCCAACAGTGACTCACTGGGTCTGAGGAACCCCTGAGTTCCTTCCCGTACTTCCTTATTGGCAGGAAACTATCCAAAGGACTCTCCTTCCTAATAACTAGGAGTTGTGTGGGCTCTCTAAACAGTTCTGTGTTAATAGGCTTAATTATTTCGGGAAACATACAGCAGAACACAGCTGCTTAATTTCTTTTTAAACTTTTTTAAACATTTATTTATTTATTTATTGTAAATTCAGATGTCACATAAGTTTAGCTAAACCTAAGTATGTTTCTGTGAATTGATCCTGGGGTCCTGAAGGCTCTGGGGTGCTCAGCCAAGTGGACAAAGCACAGAAGTGGGCATCAGTCCACACTTTGGCAGCAGTCTGTCTGTCCCTCGGGTCAGGGTCTCTTCACAATAGATGGAGGGTGCTTGCCTTCTCGCTCCAATCTCCCAGCCTCTCTCAGTTTTCTGGAATAGGGGCATATGGGAATTTAACTACAGAGTAAGCTGGGTGCCAACACACACGAATCATTCTTGCTCCTCAGAGTCAGAGCTCCTCAGAGCTTCCTCGTTCACGGCAATTTCTATTAACACGCACGCTGTGCTCGAGGTCATTCCTGTGCTCGAGGTCATTCCTGGACACGGGTGGGACCGAGCACAGCTTGGAGTCACACTACAGTCTCAGCAGGGCCTCTGCATGCAGGCTTCAGCTTTCATCCTTTCTTCTGCCCTCCCTCCGCCTCCCCACCCTGCCGTGTGGCACTGGGGAGTGAAGCTACGTGGCCTCGGGCAGGCCAGCCTGGCCCCCACCACTCAGCCATGTCCCCAGCCTGAAGGCGTATCCTTGCTGCCGTCTATCCAATGCCACTTTTCTCGTTTGTGCTTTTTTTCTTTTTTTTTTTTTTTTGGCGATGTCCTGTTTCACATAGCCTCGTGTGCAGTGTCTTGTGTTCTACATACAAGAGGACAGTGATGGGCCCTGCCCAGAAAACACGTGTGGTGTAAGGTTTGACTTGTGTACTGAGTCAATAAAACATATCTAGTAAACGGCAGCATGTGATGGAGGCCTCCGGCCAGGGGCTTGTAAGAACCTAGGCCTGAATTCTCTTAGGAGCAGTGAGTTGTTCAGGACCCATTAACTTAATGGTTGTGGTGACTTCACAGAACACGGCTACTGTGGATAAGGAAGCTTGACAGTTCAGGTGTGTACACACACGTGCCATGAAGCCATAATCTTATTTAAAATCTCCCAAGTGGCCGTAGAAACGGCTCAGTGTGTAAGCGCCCATTCTGCTCTTGCAAAGCAAATGTGCAATCCATTCCCAGGACCCATGTCTTACAGCTCACGCCTGCCTTTAATTCCAGCTCCAGGGACCCTGACACTTTTTTTCTGGCCTCCTTGGGCACCTGCATGTATGTTCACATGCCATCCTCTACACATATATGCATGAGTAAAAATAAAAGGAATCTTTAAAAAGAAGAAAAAAAAAAAAAGAAGAAGAAAACCCACGCTGGAAATGCTGAAGGGTTCCATCTCATCTGGATTATCTATGTTGTCTTTGTACCTTAACTTCCAAGGGAAAAGGAGACAGGGAAAATCAAAACCTGTTTCTTTCCTCATTGTCTCAGGTTACTAAGAAGGGACGTCCTTATTATTCTGCTTTTTAGACCCAAGCATGAGCCCGTCTTGCCATTGTGCCCAAACCCTACAGCACAAAGGGGAACTGCGCAGAAAGGTGCACATAGCACATGTAAACATACGGGAACACACACCACTTCCCTGTGAAATGCTACCAGGATCCTGCGCAAGTATGAGGGGGTGGGCTGGCAGCATCTTAAGAACATTTTAAGAACAAGCTAATGTGTTCGGTGTGCTTTAATTTTGGAAGTAGACAGAATGAATCCTTCTTTCCGAGAGACAGCGGTGAGTCAGGGTCATCAAAGGAAATAAAATGGGCTGCATCAGATGCTGGTGCCCAGAGCGTTTCCACAGCGCTTTCTCCAGCCTCAAGTCCACCAGCCAGCTCAGACACATTTGAAGAATGGCGGTGTTCAGAAATGCCTACTTCCTACTTGTATCCAACAGGGGCATAGTCTCTAAAGATTAAATCAGTAACAGTGGGTCTCCCTTAGCACAGAACTACACAAAATGCCCCACAAGGGGACAGAGGTTAGAAGCATGTGGCTGCTCTTACAGAGGACCCAGGTTCAGTTCTCAGCACCCACATCAAAGGTGATCTGGGCCCTTTTTTGATCGGGTGCATGTGTGTAAGATCTGATGACAGTTCAGGACAGGAAAAGTGTGGGAGTCCATAAAGATGCGTGTGGTAGCATTAGAAGACCTGGGCTCAGACCAGGTAAAACCATCAGTAAAACTAGTGGACAAACCTCAGACCCAAGTACATTCACGAGTTCATCATGTCCATGCAAACACTTGGAAGGAAGTTGAATGAGCCAGCCGGGATTCTGAAAGTGACAGCCCTTAGTGTGCATTTTCTGTATGTGCTACACTTTGGGGAGGCAAGGAACTGACTGGGAGAATTTCTACGAAGCACCTGTCTAATAAACGAAGAAAGGAGGCAGAATCAAACACCGACTTCTGGGTTTCCTAATGAATACAGACGTAGCTGGGCCTCGCAGCACACACCTGCAATCCCGGCACTTGCGAGGCAGAGCAGAGGCGGGAAGATGGAGGCCAGGCTCCACGGGAAGCCTCTGTTTCTAAAATAAACCCAATGGATGTAGCTGAGTGGCGGAATCCACCTGGCAGGTGCAGGCCTTGGGGTTGCTCCCCAGCACCCGGGAGAAGATCCAACTCATGCTTAGCCATAGCTAACATTACAAAAACAAAATCCCCAATGTTATTCAGATGAACTATGCTATGGATGAAGGGGTTTGCTAGGCCCTAGCCAAAATAAACCAGAATCCTACCCGCCTTCTAGATTTAATGTGCAATGTACAGAAATAACAGGGAAAGAATATGGTAAGTGTCAACCCGGGGTTACAACTAATCATTAGGTCCACATCTGAAGTGCTGCTAGAGGAACATGGTGGATGCTTTAGTACTCAGAACAGAGCAAGGAAAAGAGAGAGAAAAGAACCTCTCAAGAGATCCATGATATGTATTTTGATCCTTGTTCCTAAAAATAAACTATGCTTTTTTTTAGATGGAGCTGAGCTTGGAGGTGCATCCCTGTAATTTCAGCCCTGCCAAGCTGAGGCAGGGTACTGCTGCAAGTTTGAGACCAGCCTGGGTTACGTAGTAAGCTCCAGGCCAACCTGAACTGCAGAGTGAGATCCTGTCTCAAATTTTTTTTTTTTTTTTTTATTATGCAGCTCCTCTCCCCCAAATTATGATAGCCTGGTGAAGCGGCAAACTAACAATAAAACATACGTTGCGCGGGGGAAGATCAATCCAAGCCCTTTTTCTCATCTGTTAATCCTAGAGAAGTCACTCCATTTCGGGCCTCAATTTTGTGTCTTTAAAATGGGACAAGTACAGGGCTAGGGGAAGATTAAGTGACACAGACACATCAAACGTTGTGGGAATATTTTGTCAATGGTAAGTTGTGTTCACAATTAAAGTATTGTGTAAACAAATTATGGAACAAAAAGGTGAAAAATTTCAACCCAAGGCACTGGGGACCTAAAAAACTTGAGTGGAACCTCTTCCTGCACCATTGAAAGGAAAAACGCGTATTTAACATGCGTCTGTGGAGCAGATTTAAGGAACGGAAGATGGAAGATGCATCTCCATCTCCCCCTTCTCCCCAGTGATGCGAATCAGTGTGACAGGCCTACCTGCATCACAGACTTTATGCAGCAAGCATTTATCTTCTTCATTCCAGGTATCCAAGTATTCATCTTGGCCACAGGGCAGACACACACTGTCGGAGGTAGGAGTGCATTTAGAAGACAGGTATTTTCCTTAAATTGAGAAGACAATGTACCAATCAAAACCAAAACAATAGCGATAAATCAAAACTAAACAAGAGCAGATGCTGAGCACGTGTGAGAATCTGGATTAAATCCCCGGCAACAAATAAGGAAATAAACACCAACCTATGACTCTGGTTGACAGAAAGCCTTTTAAGACAGGGTAATACATGAAATGAGGGCCCCCCAAGGCAGTGAGCACAGTACCTGAGGCTCCTCAGGCCTCTGCGTGCTGAATATCCCATCCCAGATTTGCTATACGTACTGCTGTTCCATCCTGGGTTTGCTGTTACAGCAGTCTCTCAGTTTGTCAAAATAAACAACCCACCAGTCATCTTTTGCATCCCCAAACTCCGCTGACTGAGAAGCAGATCTCTGGAATTGGGCTGGTCCCTGCAGAACTTGAGAGGTTGGCAGGGATAGACCAAGAGAAGAAGAGGGCTAAGCTAGAGGGCTGGCTGTTCCCCTTAACTTTGCTAACTCTTGCCTGCCTTCACTGTGGATAACTGGCTCCCTGTTCTCTATGCACTACGATAATGGCCAGTTTCCTGTGACCAAGACTCATACAGCCTCACCTTAGCATGCACTTGCACTTGATCAAAGTATGGGATCTGTGTCTTGTATATTCAAGAGCTATTTGCAGTCAAAGCATCCAAAAGACCTTAGCTACAAAGTAGCCTGGGCTTCTCTGCCTTCTCCAAAAACAAAAGAGTGTGAGGACCTGGCAGGCTGGGATTCCACAGGGGCATACAAACACTGGGCTCCCCTTGGGGAAGGTGGCGCTCAGCCCACTTTGTGCTCTTTGGCTGGTATATGGGAGAAGGTCTGTCAATGGTTAAGCAACTCCAGTTTTTTTTTATTCCAAAATAAGACTTTTGTGCACACAGTTTCAAGTATCAGTTGCACTTCCTGTTTTTCTAAGATGTGATTTTGGGAAACCTTGCCTTCTCAGAATGAGTGGAAGACTAGTTTCTCAAGCTGCTTTGCCGCATAGGTGATGTCTATCGAGGGAAAGCACTCTGTCTTCTGAGTGGCAGACGTCATGACCTGCCACTGCTGTGAAAGACTTGGATTTCTTCATTCCTCAGGACAGAAAAGGAAAGCTAGAAGGCCCGAGGGGCAAGAGTACCTGGCTGGCATCTGCTGCAGCACCGCCCAAGGTGCTCATACTGTCTCTCCCGGGTGCACGGAGGGGTGACCTGGAGACTCACCTGGAAGAAAAAGGACATCGGGAAGACCAATTCCCCATGGCCTCCATACGAACTCACAAACACACAAACAAGTCAGCCTGGAGGAAAATAGATTGTCAGGTTGTTCTTCTACAAAGCATCTGACAATACCATCAGCTCCTCATGCTGCCTCCTTCAAATTTCTCACTCCCCTAGGCTTGCCCATATCCTCCTAGGATGTACAAAACGAACCTTTCAGCACAGAGCTTGACCTGTTTGGACATTTTTAAAAACACTTCGGTGACAGAGTGATAGGGTATATTAAAGGAAATTTTTTGTGTGTCTAAAGAGAAGGTTAAAAACTTTTTCATGAAAGACATTGTAGAAGTTGGCCCCGCTTCCCTCTGTGTCAGTGAGGATCTGCTCCATGAACTCAGATGGGAACATAATGAGCCAGTCAGATGACTGAATCAGGGCATTCACTGTTACAGGCTCCCTATGACAGGGAGAGGCTACTTTACACTGCTTACCTTCCAGAACGGCAAAGACTGCAAAAGGTGGAAAGGGCAAAGGCTTGTAGGGATAAGCCCGACAGCCTGTTGCCTGATGGAATCCAACCAAGCTCTTTGCTCACTCAGAACTTCCGTCTCCTTTACAGGCTTTCTGACTTGGAATTGAAATGTTCCCTGCATGCTCATGGTTTGACCTTAGCCCCCAAATTGTGGCACTGTTGGGAGTTTGTAGAACCTTGAGGAGTCCGGGCCTCAGAAGTCGGTCACCAGAGCAGTCCTGTGCTTCTGCTTCCTGGTCTGCTTCAGCTTCAGCTTCCTGGTCTGCTGTGGCGTTAACATCCTGTCTCACGCTTCTGTCTCCGTGAATTGCCCTCCCTGCCATGATGGGGGCAACCCCCCTGAAATCATGAGCCAAAATGAATCTTTCTTCCTTTGGGTTGTTTCTGTCAGCCAGTGTGGCCATGGAAAAATGAATGTAACTGATACATGAGCCAAAGTAGTATGATTCTAATGTACAATACAAAATGGTCATTTCCCCTCCTTCAGCTTTCTCAGTGTGAGAAGAAGGCAACGGTAGACACAGTGGCAAGCAGCCGTATTAGAAGGAATACAGGAAAACAGAAGAGCCAGATCTCCACATGGCAAGCCCTCCACATACCAAGCTTCTCACCTGCTCCAGGTAACAACTTAGAGACTCTCCCCATGGAGTTTAGAGTTAAACAGTAAATATATACTTGGTCAGGTGCTATCGAGGCAGATGGGCCTGACCTTAGCAAAAGAAGGCCAAGGAAGTTCTCAGAGACTGGTGAGTGAGCTCAGCACTGTGGGACATGGACATTAGCCAGATGAGAACATAGAAACTGGCGAACGGCGAGGTAGAGAGAGATGGGCAGGGACAACTTTGTGAACAAAGTGATGAGTTCAAATAGACACAGGGTAGTCTGAACAGGCATAAAGAGGGTGGGGGCAACAGGAAACCATTAGTGTGGATCAAACTCAGTGTCAGCAGAGGAAGAGCGGGAGACAAGCCTGGTGCCAGAACCGCTATGAAAGTAACCAACAAGCGTCCGATTGGATTTGAGGCCTGCTGAACACAGGGGACACTCAAACCTGGTATGGTAAATTTGGTCCAGAGTTGGTAACTAGAAAGATCATAAGCTTGAGGGGAGTGTGTGTGGGGGGGGGTACCTGCAAGTTTTGTTTTGTTAAATGGACATGTGGTGGAACCGCCTTCTAAGCATTCACGTTTATACCCACAGCTTAGCAAGTGGTCTCAGCCTTCATCAGAGAAGCTTCCTACTGTATCAGGCAACAGCGAGTGACGATACACACAACTGGCTGCAGGGCCAAGACTAAGGGATAGTGGAGTGCTCATCTCTAAATGTGACATCTGTGTCACCCCTTCCGAGAAGGGGAGGGACGTGAAGGAGCTAGAGAATGAGGAGGTGTGTTCAAAAGATGTCTTCTGGACATAATGTCCATCCCATTCGTGGACTCAGGGTAGCCATGGTTACCCACACAAGACCTGTACAAGCCTGGGCCTGACAGAAGTTCATCAAGGAACTGGGAAGGGCTTATGAGGCCACATCCCTCTCTGAGAGTAATGGTGGCTAGGGAAGGCGTGTCACTTTTTTTTTTTTAAGGGTGTTTTATAAAGAAACATCAACCTAAGAGCCCAAAGGCTAGCTGAGTAGAGTGTAGGGGAAGGGTCTCTCTGACTTCAGTGTGGCCTAACAAGGGCATCGTGCCTGGGAAGACTGGGGAGGGGAAGGTCGTGCGTGGCCTTGCTTCTTGGACCTGCGCATCACTCTCCTAAATAGAAGGTTACACAAACTGGTGTTCCCTATATAGTCACCTGGTGATGGTCTTGGAACATCACAGCAAGCCCCGAGAGCTTAGTGAGAACAGCAGAGAAGACACACATTTCTCCCTTGGGCCCTCTTGCTCTTTTTTTCTCTTATAGGATTCCATTTCCCTGCAGAGAGCTGTAGTTCTTAAGAGGAACACACAGAGACAAATGGCAAAACTAAATGTGGCTGAGGCAAACTTCATCTGACAGGACTTGTCTGAGCTGAAGGATGTGAGCACTCGTGCGTACTGATGACAAGGACAGATGTGTGGGCGGGCTGCCATTCACACAACAAATGTTATCAATTGTGTCTGACCCATTAAGAGAGCAGCAATGCTGCGTGTCAGATAAGCACACACTCTGCCTGGGTGACACTCACAGAAAGGTACTGTTTAGGGGAATTTGACAGAAGAGCTGAAGCAAACTGCTCAGAAGCATCGTTGATGGTCTTGCCTGTGTCTGGACTCCACACCCGCTCTACTGAGCATCATCCAAGTGAATGTGGGGAGTACTTGATTTCACAACTGAGATGTAACTGATTCTCTCAACATCCGGGTCCAGCACTAGCTCAGGATTAATCCCTCCTCCCTCAAGTACACAAAATCACTGCTCTCCAAAGCCTCCACGTGATGCAACTCTAAAACAAAACTTCACAAGTTATTCCTTCGAAGCCATTTCTCTTTTCCAGGCACTTGCTTTATACCAACACACATTTTTTTCCTCAAAAATAAGATATTATATAATTCACATATCATAACTATAACCTTTTAAAGATCACCAGACACTATTTTAGGATATCCCCACAAGCATATAGTCATCACTGCTGTCTAATCCTGGAACATGTTTTCCTATGTAGCCCTAGGTGGCCTGGAACTTGCTATATTGATCAGGCTGGACTTTAACTCACAGAGATCTTTGTGCCTCCTCCTCCTGACTATTAGGATTAAAGGTATGCACTACTTCACCCAGCTAACCCTGACACAGTTTTTAAAAAATTTATTAGAAAGTATATGTGTGGGGATGGGGGTGAGTGTGTGTGTCTGAGGGGGAGGAGGGAGAGAGAGGGAGATTGGGTATCTTCCAGTTAAACATCTGGGCCCCTAATCTCCTGCCCTGATACTTCCATCTTAGTACCAGTTGCACTGCCCACAAACAGACATTCAGGTCTGCTCCCAGCAGCAGCCCTGCCCTTCCCTCCAAATGTCCAGGACCCGGGCAGGACTCAAGCACTCCTGGTAGTCAAGCGGCAGCAATTGTTATTGGTTGTAATGCTCCTGAAATCATAGCTTGATAAAAGCATCTTCCTAATAAAATGTGACTGGAAGAGGCCCCATGGAAGGGCAGGCAACTGGCTGCTGGTGTTAACAGCCCCACACTTAAGGCTGGCTCTTTCAGGAAAAAAGGTACAACGATGGGTGGAGGGAGGTACAGTTCCTGGATGACTGCGATGAGAAGGGCACATTCTGGTTCCCTAGCTCTTCCTCTGCTTACTTTTACTGTGTTCTGTTTCCTTCAAGAACCCTAGAGTTGGAGCTTTCAGAGCACAGCTGTCCCCACGAGGCAGATGAAGCCCGGCTCAATTTAAAACGCCTGGTTCTTGAGGAGGCCTGCAGTCCTGTGTGTGAGGCAAGTGGAGGGTCACCTCATGCTCTGGGAGCAGTCGCCTCCCACTTCTGACCAGGGACTCACTCTCTTTCCCACCCAGAGCCAGCGTTACTTGCCTGTTTGTTTTGGGCACATCCTTCTGGAACTCAAGAACTGTGACCCAGTCGAGACACTGAGATGCTCATAATCACTGTCTTAGGGACCACGTCTGTTTGCAGTGAGTTGTACTGGGAGTATTTGGGGGAATACAAACTTTCTAAGAACTTGTCATTCTTAGAAATCTAAAAAACAAAACCAAACCACCAAGCATTGTACTGAGAGGGCCCTACTACGATTTAATCAATAAGCTAGAAAATTCTACTTGGTTTACACATTAACACCTCCAAACCTTTTTAAGGACACTTCCCCTGACTTCTCAAGGGATATCAGGGTGTGAATATAGCAAACACCCCTGCACAGGAGCTACAAAGGTAAGATGGTGTGCTGTCCTGTTTCACTCCCATGTGTCTTTTCTTGGCTTGTGTGCGTTTGTTTCACAGCAGACAGGCTGGTGTTTGGCTTAATGACTGACAGAATCTTCTAGAAGAAATATGTCCCCAGTGTGTGCAAGGCTTGGGAAGAGATAAAAATTATAAGCAAGTTTCTGGGGGCCACAAGGTGGCTCAGTGTACAGAGGGGCTTGTTATCAAGCCTGAAGACCCAAGTTTGATTCCCAGGTAGTAGAAAGAACCAACTTCTATACATTATCCTCTGATCTACACACACACACACACACACACACACACACACACACCACACACATACACTTTTTATAAATCACTATAGATTTATGGCCCTCTGCAATAAAGCCATAGCTGAAGAACTGTGTTTGTCTCAGAGCCAGGAGAACCTGAGTACATAGCCCTGTAGGAGTGCTGTCTTAAATGTCTATTTTTCAGGCTGTTAAGCAACCCCACTGTAGGGAAAGTCGTTACAGGTATTAAAACTGCTTTCTTGCTCCAATGAAAATTCACACTGGCATAGAGCATTGCAAAAGGAGGCTCCACCCTCTCTGTCAAGTCAGCGGGGAAAGAACC